TCTTATATCCTGCTCAATCTCCTTTTTCAAAGTGCTATAGTTTTCAGTGTAGAGGTCTTTTGCTTCCTTTGTTAGACTGACTCCTAGATATTTCATTTTTTTGTATGCTATTGTAAAAGGAATTGTTTCCCTAATTTCTCAGTGAGTCTATTTTTTGTATATAAAAAGGCTATTTTTTTTGAGTGTTGTGCTTGATCTTTTCTAAAAACATTTTTTATTAGGACATGTTTGCAGTACATAATGATTACATTCATCATGTGTTTGATCTTAATCTTTCCTTGTACAATTACTATGAATTAAAAAGGAAAAAAGAACGCTTTCATTGTTTTAGCATAAAAAATTGAGAATAATTGACAAAATCATATATACTTAAGATTTACATTGTTTTGAGATACATATATCTATGTTGTGAAATGATTACTACAACCAAGCTAATTAATGTATCCATCAGTTTACAGACTTAACACCAATTCCTAGTTTCTTCCTCTTAGAAACATTGTATAATAGGGTGGGGATTTAGCTGTGCAAGGACCCAAGTTCGATCCCTGGTACCCCCCCTCCCCGCAAAAAGAAACATAGTATAATAGCATTAAGACAAAACAGTCTTAAAGGAAAAATGTGCATAGCACTTCACTTCCAGGATAGATTAAAACAGTTACATGAATACCTTTCTAGATGATTTGTTGATATATCTATATATACATGTATTTTTAAAAATAAAAATTGATAATATCGTATGTACTGGTTTTTGGGTTTTTTTTTGGTACCAGGGATCGAACTCAACTCGCGAGGCAGGCACGAGGCAGGCGTGAGGCAGGCAGGTGCGAGGCAGGCACCACTGAGCTAAATCCTCAGCCCCCATATGTACTGTTTTATAACCTGCTGTTTTACTTAATGGAATAGAGTGGATACCTTTGCATCTCAATAAATTCATGTCAGCTTCATGATATAACTAATAACTTTTTTCCATCCACCCTATTATCCTCTCTTATATTCTCTTCCCTCCCCCTTATTCCCTTCCTTTTGTCTAATAATAGTCTCCCTTTTACTTTTATGTCAACTTTTTCAGATTTCACATATTAGGGGAAACATGATACTTGTCTTTCTGAATCTGGCTTATTTCACTTAACATGATGATCTTTAGTTCCATGCACTTTCTGGCAAATGATGTAATTTAGTTCTTCTTTATGGTTGAATAGTGCCCCATTGTGTATACACTCATCATACTTTCTTTATCCATTCGTCTGTTGATGGGAACCTTGGCTGGTTCCATGCTTTGGCTATTGTGAATTGTGCTGTAGTAAATGTGAGTATGCAGATAACCCTTTATGCTGACTTTAATTCTTTTGGGTATATGCCAAGGAGTGGGATAGCTGAACCATGATACTTCTATTTTTAGCTTTTTGAGCAATCTTCGTACTGATTTCCATAGTGGCTACAGTACTTTACATTCCAACCAGCACTGTAGTGTGTTGCTTTTTCCCTGCATCCTTGTGAGCGCTTATATACTTAGCCATTTGTACTTTTTTGAGAAGTGTCTGTTCAATAATTTGCCCATTTATTGATTGGGCTATTTCTTTTTCTTTTTTGGTTCTGTTTTTTGAGTCTTTGTACATTCTAGATAATAATCCTGTGTTGGGAGAGTAGCTGACAACAATTTTCTTTCATTTTGTAGGCTGTTTCTCGATTCTATTGGTTGTTTCCTTTCCTGTGCAGAAACTTTAAAATTTTATATCACCCCAATTGTTGATTTGTACTATTATTTCCAGTGGTATTTGAGTCCTATTCAGGAAGCCTCTGCCTGTGCCTATGGCTTCAAGCGTTTGCCCTCCAACTTCTTGAAAGTTTCAATTTTTATTTATTTTGGGGGGGGGGTACCGGGGATCCAACTCGAGTCCTTGCGCTTGCGCAGCAGGCAGCGAAACCACTGAGCTAAATCCCTGGCCCTAAAAGTTTCAATTTTTATACCTCTGTCTTTTGGCAGAGTAGATCTTTGAGCTCTATCTTGCACATTTCTTAAAACATGCTCACAACGTTGAAACTATAGGCATACAAAAAATTGAGCCAAGGAGAGAAAACAAAACAGAATATAGGAGTCCAAAAAACAGGATTGTCTTGGGGACTCTGACAACTGGTTTCAAATTTTGTTGGTAGCACTACTGTATTTATTTTTTAGGTACTGGGGATCAAACTCAGGTCCTTGTGCTTTCGAGGCAGGAGGTGGAACCACTGAGCTAAATCCCTGGCCTGGCACTACTTTAATTTAAAAGAACACTTTGTGGATGGCACTGATGATTGAATCCAGGGGCTCACGTGTGTTAGGCAAATGCTCTACCACTGAGCTACATACCCACTAAGAGCACATTATTTTTAAAAAAATACAGGCTCCTTAGTGTCACATAAAAGAAGTTTTTGGCCTTTAGTATCAACCTAATATTAAATATAAGGGTTGTAAAATCAACCTGAGTTTTATTAAGGCAAAGCAAATAATAAATAACACTTTGGCATAGTAATATTCTCTTCGTTTCTTTCTTCCCTTCTTGGTTTCCCCCTCTTGATAGTCACTGTCACTTTCAAATCAAACAAAAGACATTTCACAAAATACATTAAAGCCATGATTCATCCTTCACATTAATGTAATGTTTGTTGTTTTGTGTTAGACTAACAAGGTGGGTGGGTCAAAGACAGGAGGGTGGCTCTTTGTGCTCAGAAAGCTCAAACACTCGGGCGGTATCTAAGCAATGCTTTCTGTCTGTCTTACCCTTTTCTTGTCTTTGTTTTTAATATGTAGTGAAATCCATATTTTTTCTTTGCTTTTAAAGCCCTTAGGATTAATGGCTGTGGCTTACCAGTTAACTATTGCTAGGTCTGCCTGGACAGCTGGAGCTCATCAGCACTCGAGTCAATTTTCTGGGTGTCCTACGAGTATCCTGGAAACCAGGAAGATGCGCCACAACCATAACGATGTATTCATTTCCTAATTTAACTCTGGAGCTGAACAGCTGGTACAGCAGATGAAGATTTATAAACTCAAATGCCACAATGGTTCCTTAGGCAGCCACGACTACTTTCAAATATTGCTTCCTTCTTTGGTATTTGAAAAAATATAGAGGCAAAACAATGGAAATAATCAGTGTCATCATTCCATACTTTATGTCTGCATTTGTTATAGTAATTTGGGGCCCGCTTTCACTTATTAAAAATAACGTCATGAGGTTCTTATCTTCTTGCATTGGGTCTGGAGGGAAATTCATTCTGCAGGAGGTCAAGGAGTTATAACATGCAGCAGGCTTCCAGTAATAAATAATGATGGTAGTTGTGCATTTAAATTAAATTTATTGTAGCACTGTCCCACCAGGGTTTAAACTAAAGGAAGGGACTGTAAAGGGAGATGATGAGAAATACAAAAGTACAGAGATTAGGTCCACACATGCTGGAATCACCATCTTCAAAGTGGAATCTGAAAACCCTGCCCTTCTTGTCCCTCGTGTCACAATGTCATATACTCATCAGCTCCTGACAGGAATCTAGAATAAGTGTCTTCATTGTTATGGCATCAAAAGTAGGGCTGTTTTTCTCATTTATTTCAGTGAGTTCTTTTTCCTAGGGGTAGGAAAATAGCGGTGGGTAGGAAGAAGGGATGGTCTGCAGGATCATTTTCTGGGTGAAACAATATTTAGAATTTAAAACATTAAACAACCATCGCTCTGGAATATTTGAATATCCACAGTTCTATTTTAAGAAGTTCTTAATGAGGAAAATTATTACCATCCCTCAAAACACTATTAACAAGCTGTAGTAATGATGAGGTAATTTATGTACTGCGTTTAAGGACCTTACTTTAGAGCTAATCACAGGACTGAATGTAATCAACTATTTTGGCATGGAAGCAATTTACTCAGGACCCTGATTTTCCCCTTTGCATAGATGGGATATTTGTTCAGGGAACATATGAATCAGTCTACACTGGTATTATGAGTTTCATGTTTATCAAACATTCACAATGCACCCAAGAGCACAGAGCTAAATAATGGTGTTCATCTGGGGTAATGCTACAAGGACTGTGAAAAGAACAAAAGGGAAAAAAGAAACAACCCTATGCCCGAGTACATAGGCACTTAGAATACTTATTTTGCAGACATTTTCAAACCCAAGTATATTGTGCTTCATGCACAGATCTGCCTGAGTAATTAGGTGCCAGGTCACCTTTTGAAAATGGCTTCACACTTTATGCACCAGGGAGACTGGTAACTAGCACACCCTTCCATACTGCAAACAATAATATTTTTCTCTGTTTTCAGATTCACCTTTAGCTCACTGGGTGTGTTTCTCAAAAAGGAGAAGAGTATTCTTTTATTCCATTTTTTAAAAAGAAGAAATCTTTATACTGAAACTCCAAACAGGCTCATGCGCTTCATAAAAGTAATTATTTAGAGTAGCTGGAGCTCCCTGTTGTTTTTATTCCTGTAGACCACACATTTGTGGGGATGAAATATGGAGAGGAGGCAACTTGATCATACTCGTCCCAGTAATAAAAACAGACATGATGAAGTATGATGGCCTTATCTTCAGGACCCGAGTCTCCTCCATCTGTGCTGCACCCCGGGCCTGGTCTGTGTGTCCCAAACACCTCACGAGTCAGAAGACACTTTCCTCATTCTTCTCTATCCTACGCGGTGGTACCCAGCCCAGTCTTACACCCTGAGGCCTCACCACAATGCCTGTCTGGTGACCACACAGCTCTCTGCAGTTCCACAGGCAACAAGAGCTCCAACGAGTGGGCAGCTTTCTGCATTGATGTACACAGTTAGAAAGAAGGAAAAAAAACGTAGGATTTGCAGTCTATCTTGACAGGGTTTGAATATTAACCCTATCACTTCCTGGGTCTAAACCTGGGCAAGTGATTTATCTATTTTTTAATAATAAATTTTATTTTATTTGGGCAAGCTATTTAACTGCCTAAGTCTCATCTAGAAAAGGCCCTAGTAAGAAAGCTATCTCATGGGTGGTTATGAGTGTTACCTTCAATATATATATCATAAAGCAATTGCATAAAATTGATTTATTGGGTACTCATTAAATGTCAGGAATTACCAAAATTATTGTTGTTGCTGGTGGTGGTGGTACTACTTATTATTATTAAACCTTTCTCTGGAAGGAGACAGACAGTTCATTCAGCAGATTCAAGGCTTCTGACTTTCAAATTATCCATGCATATCTTCTTGTTCCTATGCCAGATTAAATCAGGGAATGAGCCCTTTGAATCATTAGCCTCTAGCCCCCCACTACTCTTTGGATCAGGTTTTCACAACTTCACACCTGGACCGCTGTACTGTCCTCCCCAGTGGCCTTCCTGTCCCCAGTCTCATCTTCCTCAGGCGCCCGTTGTATAGAGAGTAATGTGTCCAGAGTTCTGCAACTTGTAAGTGATGGAGCTGATCTCAACTACTTAGAAAATAAAATAAACCTTAACTAATTACACACCTCAGGAAAATTTTTCAAATTGATATTTAAAGCTTTCTACAGCCAGATCTGAACCTGCACTCTCTACCTCACCTGCAGAGTATCCTCAACCCCAAGCAGGTGATTTGTGCTATTCCTCGGGTGTGATCTGCCTTGCCATTTCCTTACATCTGTGCTTAGGCCACTGCTCTCCACTGGGCTCCATCTCTCTGCCCTGTGTGGCAGGGGACCTCAGTCACAATAGCCCAGGTGGGATGCTCAGAGTTTGCTGCAGTATTCTGATGTTACAGACTATTTTCCTTTGGCTTCTACTGCCACAAGGGAAGAATCTAGATTTCCCACATCACCCAGCCCATATCCAATAGACAGGAGCTGAAGGAGGAGCTCACTGGTGAGCAGGAGGTTGGATTAGGTCCTGCAATTTGGGGCAGGGGAGCTACATGGAAAATGGATGGATGCCGCCTTCACAAATGGGCTTTGGGGCTCAGCTCAAGAGCAACTCCCATTTTCTTACTAAATAAGATTTTCAGTTTAAGATCTCCACAAAGATTTTAACACAGTCAGAAACTATAACTAGATTACAGTCACCTATACAAAACCAAAAAATTTTAGACTCAAAGGAATCGGAAAGTACATTTCGTGCAAACAGGATGTTTTATAAGTTAGAAAACTGCAGCAGAGAGATGACGAGTAGCTTTCAAAATAAAAACAAGGTTGATGGTTGTACCAGGCCTAGAACCTAGGCTTGGGTTGATGGTTGTATTCGGGCTGGGACTCCCATACACAGTGACCCACAGCTCCCCCACTGACCTGACCTACTACATGGGAATTAACAAAGGAAGAAAGAAAGAAACCAGCACACTTACAGCTTCTTCCAAGTGCTGCTGATCTGGATTGTCGTTTGGTGTGTGCCTCAGGATTTCTCGGAGAAGCAGAGGGTATTTCACCAGCCGGCTTCTTGGGATATCAAGGAAATTCCAGAGATCTAGTTTGCGGCTAAAGGGGGATTCTAAACATCGCTGAAGGAAATCTTGAACTCGATGATCTTGTTTTTTATGGTCCAGCAGGGCTTTGGCAGCCACTTGATTACTGCAGTAGCTGTCATAAGAGCTGAGACAAGGCAGCTGAGAAGGAAACAAAAAAAGCAGGTTGGGTGCCGGCACCATTGAGCTCCACAGCTACATGCTAGCATCAACTTGTCATTGGGACTGAATGAGCACTGAACTGTTCTCCAGGCCTTTATCCTCAAGGCTAGAAGGAACTAGTGGAATCATTAAAACTGCAGGCAATGGACAGGTTCCCTAGGCTCTAATTTGCTTTCCCTAAGTAACTGTCCTAATTGCATGTTGACTTTCTTAGTTATTTAGACCACTATGACAACTTGTTTCAATTTTCTGCTAATCTAAGGTAGCAATAGAAGAACTGGAATTGCTACATATACATACAGTTCAGAATTTTTCTAACCTTTCCTAAAGTATCCAGTAAGGTAAAAGCCACCTTTAAAAAAAAGAATTTCTTTAAAAATTATTCATAAGGAAATCATATAGAAGACCTAGGAACACTCACAAAAAGCAAGAGATCAGACTCCTAAGCCCAGCCCTTTTTGTGGCTTGGTACAAGCCTCTCTACCTTAGTTTACCTTGAGTCCAAGGCAGCTCAGTTACAAAGAAGCTAAAACAAAAGTAGGATTAGGAAAACAATCAGATGCAGAAAACATTTATAAAAATCTTTTCAATTAGTTTTGATAGGTCAGGAAAGATTTGTGGCTATACCTTATTGTTTATATCACAATACCATGCCAAGAACAATTTAAAGGCTGGAACATTTTAACTCCACTGCTTTCATTCCAGCAAAACACTAATTTCCCTGACACGACTCATGGGTCCCATTGTGCAAACACCGTATCACAGATTCATGGAAAAAGCTTCCTGTCCTTTTCTACTCTTCCCTCTTCATGGCACCTGAGACTTGGCATCTAATGCAAAGCTACCAGCCTCCAGAAAGTTATCAGAAGCAATAAAATGTAGCCAGTGGCCTGGCTCCTTTCTCTCTCCCCCACACTAGGAAGCTGTATGACACTTAAGTGAGGGTGTCTTTCATTTCTATAGCCTCAGTACTTTGCACTGTGCCTATTGTATAGCTGACATGTTTGTATTCAAGGTAAACAAATAAATGAATGCTTAATGGATTACAAGATTAGGTAATATTTGATGGTTTGGGAGCATTGCTTAAAAATTAAAGTATGGCAGCTGGGTGTGCTGGTGCATGCTTATAATCCCAGGACTCAGGAGGCTGAGGTGGGAGGACTGCTGTGAGTTTGAGGCCAGCCTAGGCTACACAGTGAGTTTAGACCACCCTGAACTACATGGTGAGATCCTATCTCAAAAACCAACCAACCAACAAAAAAAACCCACAAAAGAAACAGAAAAGTATGGCTAACCTCTTATTGAAATTATTTTCTCACTGACCAAAACTAAAAAAAGTTACCAGGGATATAGTACTAAAATGTTTCCTTTTGAGCTTAAAATTCCTTGGAAATGTCTACCTTCCTCCCACTTTCTATGTTATAAAAGAAAACCTCTACTTTTGTTAAAAACAGCTGCATAAACTCTTCATTCAACCTCATATTTAAAAGTAATGATACTTAGTACTTCACGCACACGCGCGCACACACACACACACACACACACACACACACACACACCCAGATGCGGTGCTTGTAATTTAGATTTTCAGAGTTAATTAAAAAGCACCTCGGGGCCTCTTAATTTCATTTCCATTTCCTCGCCTTTTAAAGGACCTGGAAACGACGAATGTTTTCATTATGGAGAAACAAATCAGCAGTAACCATCGGATGTAAACTAGGGAGGAACCCCACTGTCCAATGGGCCATTACGCTCTCTAATCCCCCCACCTGCTACTATGCCAACCAAGTCTCGATCTGGTCCTGTGTTCACACCTGACAGGGTACTCATTTCCTGGGCATGACCTGAGAGTCTATCTGGTTTAGTCTCTGGCCAGAAAAAGCCATAAAAGATATTTAACTAGATAAGGGATAAAGAATGTATACATATTAGCCCCTAGATATATACACACTCACTTATTTAAAATATAAGAGGTGAAAACTCAGTGGTAAAGAGGACAGATTCTAGAATTGGGGAGAATTCAGGTTCAAAGCCAACTTTTGAACAGGTGCTTTAAATGATTCTTTTAACCTTAGTTTTTCCACTCACAAAATGCATACTAATGCTTTCCTCTTCCTTAATGAGAAAATGCACATAAAATGTGTAGCACAGAGCTGGGCTCCTAGTTAATAATCAGAAAGTACTAGCTATTATTATTTGTCCCTTGACTATTTTATTGAAGAATCCATGGTTTAGAGAAGCAAAGCTGCTTGCTTAGCTAGAGTCTGAAACTTCTTACTTATCCCTCCCCTTGATATCTCTTTAAATAGACTATCAAGAATTTATAAGGGAAACTCTTACTTTTTAAAGAAATTCTTTCTATCCCCCTAACATTGTGAAAAGAGATGGAATGAATTCATTTTTTTTCCCCTTCTATGTGCCCTGCCTCTCTCTTAGGAATTAAAATTTCATTAGAATCCAAATTGACATGAGAACTTGCTGCCTCAGAGCGGGTATAAACTATTTTATGGGTGAGACAAGTCACTGGGAAGCTGTTCCTTTGTAGTAGGGAAGGCTGCTCAAACGGTGTCAGGGGAGGGGACACTGATCCTCAGTAACCAGGGTGGTTCCCTGGAAAAAGCAACCACTCTGTTTAAGGTCTTTAAAGCAGAAGTAACCGATTCATTGTAAGGTCAAAAGGACTGGCCAGTGCTGCCCCATTTGGGCGGCTTACTTGTTTAAAAGGTTTTTTTCCTTTGGAGGGGAAATAAATCAATTTTTCATGGGTCGAATGGGCTCTGACTTTTCTCATTCAAAGTCCACTAAGATGTTTATTCTTTTCTGTTAAAAAGACCAGAACTCAAACAGATGTACTCCTTGGTTTACAGTTCCCACTCGCACAGACACATCTGCAGTTAAAAGAGGGAAAACATTTAACAGCTCGGAAGGCCTGATAAATAAGGGCCATTTCTCACGAAGTCTGGTAACAACGGGCTGGTTGTTTAATTTCAGGCTGCTCTTCAAGCTGCAAGTCCTCATTTGGTGCCTGGAGGGTCCAGATGGCAATGGACTATCATGGTCACTCTTTTGGGCATGCACAGAAAGACTGCAAAAGCTGCCCCTGGAGCAAACCAATTTCCTGATAAAAGTGACAAACTTTTATTTCAAAAAAAGTGAATAACAAGGCAAATTCCTACAAGTCTGCTTCTGATATAAACTCAAAATTTGCGTATGAGGTTTAAGGAAACCATGGAGCTCTACACTGCTATCTTGTCAAAAACAGAGCAATCATCCTGCTAATTCTGGAGCATGGCCTCACCACCTCCATCACGCCTGACAAAAACAGGCTATAAACTCTGCATGTTTAAGAAAGACTGAGGAAAAAAAAAAAAAGAAAAGGAAAGACAGACAGATAGATTGGCTGAGGCCGACTTTCTCTTCTTATTAGCACTTCTCTAACTCCAGGTGTCTGGCTCTCTTTAGAAGAAATTTTTTGTGGGCTAAAGAAGTTACAACATCCACCATGGCTCATAATAAAATGAAAGTCAAAAGTATAAGACGAATGATCTCTCTTGAAATATTAAGGCACATTTTCTAAATTATTCATCTTAGAACATTACTTGTCTTTCAGATACCCTTGGGGTATTTCAGCCCCAGTGCTAAAACTGACTCCTGAACTAAATCTAGCAAAGTCATGAAACATTCAAAGGTTCTGGATCAGAACATAGAAGAACAAGAGATCAGTGTTAAAACTTTCTGTCACCAACTTGGTACTGATGGAACTGGGAGGTATTAGGAAGGTTAAAATACAGACAGAACTGGAGAAAGGATTTACGTCGCAGTAGTAGGACTTATAACCTTCATGACACTCTTCAAGCAGGGAAATGATCTCTAACACTAACTGTCACGTCACCTCCTATAGGCCAAGAGAAGTATAGACCAATCTTTCTAGTGAACATAGATGCAAAAATCCTTAATAAGATTCTGGCAAATAGAATGGAGAAGATCATCAAGAAGATCATACACCCTGACCAAATGGGATTCATCCAGGGATGAATATGTTCATCCAGGGATGGTTCAACATATGCAAATCAATCAATGTAATACACTATATCAACAGAGCCAAGGACAAAAACGATATGATCACTTCCTGCCTATTTTCCTAGAATACATAGTAGATCAGAGATGAGTAGATCAGTAGATGAGACCTAATTCTAACTGGGAGAGGTCATAAAAGTAATCTTCTGGGGTGGAACTCTCAAGTACTCACAGAAAGAAACAGAAATGTACAGAAGAGGGAGTGGTGGGGACGTGGCAAAGTAGAGAATGTGTTCCTTAAATAAAATAAATTAAGCGCACGAACAACATTATGCACCCAATGGAGCACACATTAAGTTTAAGGACCACAAATGTATGTGCCCAATCTAAGGTCACAGCTTATTTCCTTAGGGGAAAAAATGGGTTATTTTGGGAAGAATGCCATTATATACCCAGCTCTCCTATTAAGTAACTTAGGGTCATATATATGCTAAACATTACCAATATATACTTATTATCTTATTTACGAAACTACGCTTTGACCATGAGATTTTTAATAGTCTGAAAAGCTTTTTTTATGGTGGACAAGAATGTATCAACCAATGCTTATTAGATTAGAAATAGTAATAATTATGAGAATTGGCTTGGATCCAGTATTATCTAATTTTATTTGATGCACAATTAGTGATAGTTTCATGTGTACTTTTATTATAAAAACGCCATGTTATCTTTAAATGTACTAAATTTGTAATAAGAAAAATTTGTTTTGATGCTTTGAAAACATACGGCCTAAATTTGCTATTTTTCTTTCTTTCTGATATGAAACCAGTATTTGCTAATAAGGAATGTCTAGCTACAGGGAACTCCACCTACATTAATTAAGATCTATCTTCAACCAAAACCAGAGAACTTCTCTTACCCAGCCCACGAGGATGGGACCAACATGTTCAGTTGAGCCATCTGGCTTCCGAACATCTTGAAGTTGACTAAGGAGCTCTGGCAAAAAACAAACAGAATGCTTATTTCATTAGACATTCACATGAGAGGACTAGAAGTTAGGCTCCGGGTTAGTCACATCATCACATTAATTACTGACTCATTATCAGACAGCTTAATTAGGGTTAAAAGTCACAGCCCATCCTGGGAACAAAATTATACCTTCGTGCAGAGGAATCAGAGAGTCCAGTGTTCCAAAAATTTGATTCAGCTCTTGTTCCGTCATGATGGAGAGTTTCAGCATGGGGTCATGATAGGCCTACACAAGAAGGGCAGAAGATGGACACAAACAATGTCAGAGGAACGAAGCTGTTGCATGCAAATGGCTCCTGAGAGAAACTATATGATTAAAAACAAAAACACAAAACCAAAAAACTGGTTCTCTCTAGCAACTCCCATAATGTTGCAGAAACAGCAGACAGGTACGACTGGAGGAGAGAAGAATCTAGTACTGCTTTGAGCCTTTCATGGTTGTTGATAAACCAAAGCAGATTTTTCCAAAGCGTTTTTTTTTTTTTTGGTACTGGGGATCAAACTTGGGTCCTTGCGTTTGTGCAGCAGGTGGCGAAACCACTGAGCTAAATCCCCAGCCCGAAAGCATTCTTATTTTGGCATATCATACATCTAGGATGGAGCATAGAGTCTAGGTTTAGAGCAAATCTGACTGTTAAAATGTTTTAAAAATCAAAAAGATCCTTCAGCTTGAAAAACTCTCACTGTATTCAAAATTAGCTACCAGCAGGTTCTTTTTCAACTAGTACATATATAAAATAAAGAAAAAATAAGGCAGAGGGAGCAAAACCCCTGCCAATCCTATTCTTTTCTATTAAAGACAATTAAATAACAAGAATACAGTTGGGCCAGGGATTTAGCTTGGGCCGGGGATTTAGCTCAGTGGCACTGCACCTGCCTCGTGAGTGGAAAGTCCCGAGTTCAATCCCTGGTACAAAAAAAAAAAAAAAAAAAAGGAATAGTTATACCAGGGCTCTGTGATGAAATATGAAGACACAGATAATGCAGTGCCTGCTGTCAAAGAGTTTTAGAAAGCTAACTGGGAAGATATTTTTCTTAAATGCAGAGAAAATGAAATATATGTTTAGAAAACAAGGCTAATAGCAGGAAAAATGTCACATGACAGAAGAATATTATCAAATCATAAGAGTTCTAGAGGGTCAGAAAATTAAAGCTAGAGGGGCTGGGGATTTAGCTCAGTGGAACCACACCTGCCTGGCAAGCACAAGGTCCAGAGTTCGATCTCCATTACCAGAAAAAAAAAAAAGCTGGAATAGCTAAGGGAGGTTTTGAAGATGGGGCATTTGGCACAGAGGAGGCAATAAACACTGCAGAAGGAAGAACTGAGATTTGAGTTGGTACCTGGAGGATGGGGAGATAAAGATGGGGAAAGGAAAAAAAAATTTCTGGGAAGGTAGGACCACCATGGCCCAGTGGATGGCCATAAATCACCTGAAGGTACTTGTGTTTAGGAAATCTTTATGCAGGGAAGGGGAGGTGGATACATGTGGTATAAAAATATGCTGAATGTTAAAAAAATATTTTACTACAGTAAAATACACATTGCCATAATCCCCCTTAAAATGCTCTCCTTCCCTCATTTAGAATGCACTTATCCCACTGTTCTTGCAGCTTTCTGAATCAGTTCTGAAAGTCCCTTTTTGAAGGCTGGGGATTTAGCTTAGCAGCATAGCACCTGCTTGGCAAATGGGAGGTCCTGAGTTCGATCCCCAGCACACACACACACACACACACAAAGTCCCTTTTTGTGTCTTTAGTTGTATTTCTGCGGCTGCTTGATGTACTTAATGGATTCAAAACATTTACTGTTGATGGTCCTTTTGACTTTGGGGAAGAGGGCCAGGGATTTAGCTCAGTGGCACTGCGCCTGCCTGGCAAGCACAAGGTCCTGAGTTCAATTCCCAGTACCTGGGGGAAAAAAAAGAAAAGACTTAGGGGAAGACCCAGAGGTCATATGCTGCCACATCTGGTGAATAAGGTGGATAAGGTCACACTGTGATATTTCTATGAGCCTATCTTTCAGTTGGATGGCACTGGGTAGCAGCATTCACCATATTTTTTTTTATTATACCTCATAAAGACACTCTGAAAGAGTACTTCCAGAACTGCTTCAGAAAGTTCCAAACATGATGGGATAAATTTCTTCAAAGATCAGGGTAGAGTTTTGAGGCACATTAATGGGAATGCATCTTTTACTATAATGATTTTTATTTAAATGCACACTTTGTATGACCAGCCCTTATATGACCAATGTGATGTCTCCCAGATTTAAATGCCTTTCACTCCTCCTAGATCTCGTTCTCTTCCAGGCCTGACTAACATGCAGTTTCTTGGCTGTGTCCAAACAAAGCCTGAATGGCCATTTCGGGAATGCCAGAGGTGACACTTCACTAATTAGCAGAAAGATGGGCTAAGGACCCTTCAAAAAAGGGAAGCATCCTTTCAACTCCATGATTCTCTGAGAGGCAGTGAATGTCAGAGGATGGACTCCGGATTTAGCTTCTAAACCTTGGAGGGTCACTGTAATGGAAAAGTTTTTGGAGGAAAGTTTGTTGTCAAAAATATACATGATGCTGCCGCCTGCCTCGCAAGCGCAAGGTCCTGAGTTTGATCCTCGGTACCAAAAAAATATATACACACATACATACACACACACACACACACACACACACACACACACACACGCTACAAGGCATGGGTTTTCTCCCTCTCCTCCCATACAATGTTGACTGAAAAACAAGTTTCCAGCTGAGGGTGCAACTCAGGGGCAGAACACGGGCTTAGCATGACTAAGTTTCTAGGTTTCATCCCCAGCACTCAACAACCAACCAAAAAACCAGTTTCCATATAAAAGACCCTGCCTTGTGACAGCATGCAACTAGTCTTACTTCACCATTTTTTTCCATCTTTGAGACTCAGGAGTCTTTATTTCTAACACATTGCCTCAGTGTCAGACATCTGTTTTCGCCCACGGACAGAGGTCCTGAGTGTGAGATTTCTAGGACAATGAAATACACATAAAACCAGGCCTCTACAGAGACTTTCTGATTGAAACTGATGTGTTCTTTGAGGTGCACCACTAACATGCAAACACGGACCCTTACAGGTGCCAGGTGTAGAGAACTATTCTTCCTTCTTGTTTTGAGCCATTTCCCCCACTGCGTGGTCTGTGGTTGCAGGTTCTTCTGAATTTCTGATTCTGAGTCACAAAGAGAGTGCTCATATAGCATTCTCTTAGAGTTGTGAAATTACTCAGAGGAAAGAAAATGTGAGGCGACTCAAATGACTGCTGGATTTTAGTTTACCTTTTTTGCTAATTTCAAGTCTTCTATCAGGTCTTCTTCTCCTTGAGAAAGCTCAAAGATTGCCTGCAAGAAAAGGAATATTTATTGAACTCTCCCTTGAGTGCTGATTCTAGCACTAAAAGCTCCAAGTATTTATTTTTGTATTTTTTTTTCCTTTTTGAGACAGTCTTGCTCTGTAGTTCAGGCTGGCCTTGAACTCACTATGTAGCCCAGGCTGATCTTGAAGTTGTGATCCTCATGCCTCAGGCCCCTGAGCGCTGGGATTATAGGTGTGTGCCACCATGGCTGGCTCCAAATCTTTAAGCACTTAAAAAGTATTCCCAACAAGTTAAATTAACCTGAAGCAAATCTCTCAGCTAAAAGCTTCAAAGGAAAGATACTGTAAACTTTCTGCATAATAGGCTTCTGGGTTTGTGGGAGAAAGGGCTTCCACATGATTCTAAGCCAGCAAGGCATTTTTCATGTTACAGATCTTTCACGAAGCTGAACAAGAGGGAACTACGTTAGGTAAAATAATTACAGTCTGAGCCATGGATTCTGCATCTTGTTATGAGTGGCAATCCTAAGAAATGATTCAGGGTCTGTTCTTAGTCATGGACCTCACAGTATTATTAATAGGCCATCACAGTTTGCCTCCCTTCTACTCCTTTCTACAGAAGATGATTCTCAGCAGAAAGCTTTATTCCTATCATCCATTTGTCTTCAGGCTGGGATTGCAGAAAGAAGCCAACATTTTATCACTCTAAATAAAACCTGGTGAAGTTAATTCATTCTAAAGCACTTCTCAGGCCCACCAAGTGTAATAAATAAAATTATAGGAGCTGGCTGTGTGCAAGAGTATGTAAACAGACCAGTCTAATTCTGCTATATTAAAAGCCACCATAATTTAAATGTAAGATGCACAGAATGCTCTTCCCTTATCTGGGAATCTAAATTCTTGGCAAACATTGTATTACTAAAGGATTAGAAGTTTGTGATACAGCCTGGGGACGAGGGCATTTTTTTTCAGACTAGAGAGAAGTGCATGGGTTTCAGGCAGTCCTCCACCTGGGGCTGGGGGGTGGGAGGTCAATGAGCTGTGTTCTGCAGCAAAGCAGATGCAGGCAGACACTGGGCCAGAGGGCAGTGCCTGCCACCTCTCTGAGGCCCAGGAAAGCCCCAGGTCACGGCCTTTTGGCACTCTATTTTATCTTTTTATTTCAAAATAATTACAGATTCACATGAAAAGTTACAAAACTAGTACAGAGGGGTCCTGTGCAACCAACACTCAGCTGCCCCTGAGTGTTTTCTCAAAACCAGGAAATGGATTGGCTCAAAATACTGAGCTGGCCTTTACGTGTATCTTCCTCAGATTTCCTTGACCATCTGTTTTATTAGAGCTCATTTACCTGTCTCACCCCAGGAGATGACAACCATAGACACATAGTAGGAAATACGCCATGGGCTTTCGGACAGGATAGCGTCAGGTTCAGATCCTGATTCTGTAACTTACCAGGCTGTGACCTTGTGCTCACCATGCCTTAATAAATTTCTCATCTACAGAATCCATCCTTCCTTCCTCTTGCTACCTCCTTCCCTTCCTTCCTTTTGGTTTTACTGTCAAACTGTACAAGCTGTATATTTACACTGTTAACACTTGGGAAAATACAGAGAAGCATAAAGAAGACTCTGAGGATACAGGAATAACAAACTCAGTTTCTCCTATGCTCTCACAGCAGATCCATTCTGATACCTAATTCGTGGTGCTTTCCTTACACACCATGAAAGCAATCAGTTCTGCAGTGGTCACCATCTGGGTGTCCCAATTCAATTCTGACACCATCTACTTAGAGGCAGCATCAGATTCTACAAGTTGGGGGCTCAGTTCCCAAGACTACAGCCCCTTTTAGATGCCAATAAAAAGTTCCAGGATGTCCTACCTGTGTTTCTGCTCAATGAGTTATAAATTAGGGTTCTCATGATCACCTCTTTAGGATTCATTGGGATTGACTGATCATCCTAACGAGGATTATTTGAAAACAAGGCAACACTTATGCTTAATGGTTTATTTCACAAAGCATAGAATTTTACAAAGGATACCTATAAATACCAGAGAAAGAGAGGAACAGGGTAAGATCTAGGAGGGGCATGGTGCTTCCATACTCTATCCAGGTACACCACTCTCCAAGAACCTCAGCTATCCAGAAGCTCTGCAAGCCTTGTCTTTTCAGGTTTTTTTTTTTCCTTTTCCAGGACCAGGGATTGAACTCAGGACTTTGTGCTTGCAAGGCAGGCTCAGCGCCACTGAGCTAAATCCCCAAGCTATCTTTTTAGGTTTTTATGGAGGCATCATTCCATTGGCATGGATGATTATATCACTGGCTGGTGTCATCAATTTAACCTTCAGATCTTCCTCATTCTCCAGAAGTTAGGGACTGTGGCTGGAAAAATCTCATCCTTCTAAACCTGCCTCGGTCTTCCTGGGTGACCAGGCCCCATCATGATGCTATGAGGGGCTGGCAGCCATCAGTCAACTCACTAGGTAGCACACGAAACATCACTTTGAGGATATGAAGAGCTGTATGCCAGGAAATAGGGGCCAAGGTCGATATATTATTTCACAATATCACATTAGCCATGATTAAGATTGTCCCATATGTCTTCACTGAATTTTTTTCGAGGCATTTCTTATTTTTAAAGGTTTTATTCATTCATTGAATAGATAATACATTCACAAGGCACAAAGTTTATAGTGTATAAATGGGCATATGGTAAAAGCTTTCCATCTCCTCTCCTCCTTCCAGACACCCATGGAGGCAGCACTGTTGCCAGTTTCTTGGATATCCTTCCAGCACACATGCACACAGATTTTACTATTTTTATATACATGGGAGCACACTTTATGACCTATGTCGTGCCATTCTTTATCCACTTAGCCAAACGTACATGTCAGTTCTTCTTCATATGTTTCCACAGCTGCATGGTACTTCAGGTATTTAAACCACTTCCTAATAACAGACGTACAGTCTCTTTCTAAATTAATATTATTTTAAACGCTACTGTGATGAGAAATCTTACACATGTATTTTTTCACTTGTGTACAAGTAAGCTTGGCAGATAGGCTCCTAGAAGAGAACTACTTAGTCAAGGAATCTAGAAAAATTTCAAATACTCTTTTTGCCAAACTCAGGTTCTCCATAATAGAGACTGCAAGGACGTCATTAGAAGATGCCCATATGAAGTGCTTGGCCCACCCTGGCACACAATAAACTCTCCATAAAGGGTGATACCATCATAGCCATTTCGGGTTACTGATACAGAAAACTTGCAAGGAATGAAATTAACTGGCCTCCGCAAAAAGGAAGTATTCCACAAAGTCAAACCAAAGTTCTATAATTTTGGACTATTTTAAAATATTTTCGAACTTGCCATCAAAATATAACTAAAATGCCTGTTTCTGTGAACCTCAGAATTCTATACAGACACTTGGTTTCAACATCCTGTACATTCAGATACTCACACCAGTTTCTTTTTACAGGGAAGCTGCACCTACCCTGCTGGCTGCTGGTGCTAGCTTCCTTCCACCCATGTGTCTTCATACAATGGCACAAAGAAGGGATCTGGAAACCAAAGCACAGACCTCGAAGGCTCTGGCCTGCTTTGCAGCTTTGGGCCAGACACACAACCAGCTCCATGGGTCATGAGCCTACCTCCTGACGTTTGATTTCCTTGGCTGTAAGCATCTGATTGACGCACACATCGAAGGTCTCACTCCACAGCTTGCTGTCTCTCCGCTTTGTGCTTGAGGAGGTGGCATTTCTGGACCAGGGTCGGGGCCCAAGGATGTCAGGGCGGCTCTCACTTCGGAAGCTAATGGACCGCTGAATAATGAGAAAAACAAACTATGGCTGACAGAACATAAATCACATGTTCACAAGAGCGAGAGGACACGGTCACCAGCCACTGTCGTGAGTCTATAGGCTGAAGGAGACTGGATGAGGGCGACTTTCACACATGTGCTGGGAGCACCCATTCTGTGTCACCTGGACGCCAAGCACACCACAGCACAAGAGCACAGCAGGCCCAACTTCAATAAGACAGCTCCAATAAGCCATGAGCTTGCCTTGCTTCTGGGGGACATCTCCCCCATTCTGAAGGACACGGGAGAACAATGTGTAGTAGATGGCCATTAAAAAACAACAACACTGGGCCGGAGATTTAGCTCAGTGGCACAGTGCCTGCCTGGCAAGCACAAGGTCCTGAGTTTGATCCCTGGTACCAAGGGGGGGCGGCGTGGAAAGTAATACTGGGCCAGTATGCCTACACTCCTTCTAAGAACAGGGCCCAACTCTCCTTGAGTCGCCAATTTTACACAGTTTGGGAGGACTCCTTCAGATCTGACCAATCAGAGTGTTCCACCGGGCTGAGCACTGAGTCCCTGCAACTTGCTACATGGTTTATAAGAGAAAAGGTGGAAGAGTCTGTATTCGTCTGGGAGTGTGAGTTCAGGAGCTAACCGAGAAGGAGCTTCTTGTAACAACTCTCCCTGGTCACACAGAAGAATCTGTTTGCCATAGGAAAGAAGGGGCTGCACAGAAGGAAGGACAGAGAGGCTGACTGATGGAGGGATGAAAGGAATAAGCTTAATCAACACTGCTTGAGGCCCCGGATTCCACTGTGCCTGAAGCCAGGAAAAGCCACCCTTACGCAGTTAAGTTACACTGGCTAATACAATTTACAGTTACATAGGCTAATACCTATTTACACTGAGCTTAGCTGGGGTGCTATCAACTCAAGAAGTCCTGACTAATACACATACTAAATGCTATCTTGGCAGGAAATGATGTTTGTATGTTTGATGTAGTTATTTCCCAAAGTGGCCTCCGCTGACTTAGGGATGGTCGAAATGCCCAAAGGGCACCCTTGTGGCTGAAATAGGCCACCACAGTGCTTTCTCATGACAGACACAAATCACCAGGAAGGAAGGAAGATAAATGCATCCTCTTTAGTCTTTACTCTAGACGGTTTCAACACATTGGAAACTTTGCCAAAGCAATGAGGCATCACTGTGCCCCAAAACCACATTCTTATTTAACAAGTGTCCCCTGCCACTGCTTCCTGTGGCCTTCAGTATGAAGTTCCAACTTCTCAGCCTGGCACGGAGGCCCCTTGCAATGTGACCACAGGTTACATATTTGGGATCACAACTTGCCCCTTGCCCATGAGCCCCTATTCTTCAGCCCTCCTAGGCTACCTGCCAGCCCCGAAACATGCCACGCTTCGCCATCCCTCTGGGCTTCCTCCAAGCAATCTTCTCTTTCTGGAAGGTGTTCCTTACATTTTATAGCTGCTTAACTCCTAACTCTCCTCAGAATCTAACTCAAACACTACCTCCCCAGGAAGGCTTCGCTCGTGTCCCCCCTTTCCCCTCTCCCATAGCAATGTGATGTACCTCTGATAAAGTGGTGATCACATTTTGCTAACTTACTGGTCACTTGTTCTAAATCATAAACTTCTCAGGACAGAAACTGATCTTGTATGTGATATATGAGCTGGCATCACTAAGACATTCTAAGATAGCTCCCAATTATTTTGCAGTTCAATAATAAAATTCAAGAAAGCAGAGGATTTATTTTGAGATAGGGTATTACTATATTGCCTAGGTTAGCTCCAAACTCCTGGGCTCAAGTTATCCTCCTGTCTTAGCCTCCCAAGGAGCTGGGAACACAGGTGCCTACCACTCTGCCCAACTAGGACAATATTTTTAAGAGAGCTGATCAATATAAGGACATTGTTAAAGAAGTTATAATTACCTGCCTGATGGAATCCTATCTAGCCATTAAGACAATTCTGAGATAATTTAATGCTGAAAATCCCTTCTATGCAAATTAAAATAAAATCAGGATTAAAATCTGTATATGAACACTATATAATTATGTAAAAAGTACATGTGAGCTGGGTGTGGTGTTGCATGCCTGTAATACCAGCATGCAGGAGGCTGAAGCAGGAGGATCACTAAGTTCGAGGCCACCCTGGGTTTCATAGTGAGTTTAAGACCAGCCTGGACTACATGGCAAGGCCCTGTCTCAAAAAACAAAACAAACTTCAAAAAACCAAATCAAAACAAAAAGTACATGTGAGCAAAGATATAAAGCAAACACCATAAAATTCTCTTGTTCTTTATGTGACATTATAAATGATTTGTCCTACTTTATAATTTTTATGACCTAAGAAAAATGAATAAATGAAAAACATAAGAAATTTCCAAGGGGCTTTGGGGAAACACCAGAGCCCCTTGGATACAGGAAGCTGGAAGCTAGCTCTGTTTCCAAGTAGCAACAAAAGCTCCTTGGGCTGGCACAGGCAATCTGTCAGCTCCTGGGCTCACCAATGAGCTTGAAGCCCCTGGACCAGCCCTGAGCAGGAGATCAAAAAAGAAGTTGTAGAAAATATACAATTTGCTAATGGTATCTTGTAAATCCTTATGATCTCTTAAAAACAGTCCATAATAAACAATAACCACACTAAATGAATGTAGATCCCCTGCACTCAGAATCAATTAGCCACAGTTGTAAAAGGTCAAAACAGGCACAGTGAGTCATCAAGAAACTCCTTTTGCGGTTCTGATGGGAGCCAGGGCTGGGGAGAACTGAAGAACAGAAAGAAAGGAAGATGTACTAAAAAGAAAATTCAAAGTGAAACACAGTTTCCACTTTCACTTCAGAGAATCAGCCTCCCACTTTTCTACTTCAGAAGCTGACCAAATTCAGACTTTTCCCACCACTTTGAAATGTAATTTATGCTAAATTTAAAATTTCAGAGATTACAGAAGTATATATTGAGTAAAAATCCCCCTATTCCTCAACTCTGCTCTAGAAGCAATTGCTGTTAAGTTTCTTCTAGATCTGTCTGAACTTTTTCCAATATATGCACATTGATTTAATCAACTTTCAATTGATGGACATTAAAATCATTTCCAGTGTCCAGCTATTACAAAAAGTGCTTCAGTGGACATCCTTTGTGTATTTGTGTTGGTATTTCTATGAGGCAGATCCATCCATTCAATAGAGTTCCCTAGTCTAAAAAGTATCCACTTTAATTTTATTTGTTATTTTATTTTGGTGCTGAGGATTGAACCCAGGGCCTGCTGGATAGTAGGCAAGTGCACTATCACTGAGCTATGTGCTATCAAATTGGCCTTCAAACAGGCTGTTCAACTACATATTTCCCATATGGGTATAGGATAATACACTTTACTCACACTCTTATTAACACAGTATTATTATCAATCTGATAGGCAAAACTACTATACTTGAATTTCAGTTTCATGTTTTGTTTTGGGGTTTTTTTGGTACCGGGGATTGAACTCGGGACCTTGTGCTTACGAGGCAGGTGGCAGAACCACTGAGCTAAATCCCCGGCCCTCAGTTTCACGTTTTGAATGTAAAGATCGAGCAAGCCAGGTGTGGTGGTGGCACATGCCTGTAATGCCAGGACTTGGGAGGCTGGAGCAGGAGGATGACTGAGTTTGAGGCCAGCATGGGGTACATAGTGAGTTCAAGGCCAGCCTGGGCTACATGGTGAGGCCCTGTCTCAAAAAACAAAACAAATACATGCACACACAAAGATTGAGCATAAAGTACTTTCATGTATTATTGAAACATTTCCCAGAGGGTTGGAGATTTTCTTTTGTTGCACCTGAAGGAAAATGAGAGAGGTGAGCTATACTATTTATGCTATTGTAGGTATACTTCATCATTAAAAGTTCTTCATTTTGGGTTTTCTTAGTGATTACTGGCCTCAAGAGACTACAGTGACTATCACTGAAGGTCGATGATGTTCTCCCCTATGCTTAGAGTCCTAGTTCAATCTCTCCAATTCTCATATCCTGAAAGATAGGAGATGTTCTTATTTTACCAGTGAGGGAGGATAAGGAATTTGCCTAAATAAGGATCTAAAATAAGATTTGTCTTCAAAGCCTGGGTATTGGGGAGCTGTACCTGCTGATTCCATGCAAATCAGGCATGGGGGGAAGGTTTCAATGAAATGTGATCTAGCTTCTACTCTCCAGGAAATCAAATCTGGATAAAGAGAGGGAATGTCTTTGTTCAGTTTTAGGAGTAATCACTGTAATGATTTAGATCTAAAATGTTCCTTAAAAGTCTCACATGTTCAGAGGTGAGGCTCTCAGAAGGGGACTGGATCATGAGGGTCTTAATCTCATCAATCATTAATGAGTTCCCAGTTGAATGGGCTATTAAAGAGGGGGACCCCAGTTGAAGGTGGTGAATCACTGGTGCCTTTGGAGGGTGTATCTCTCCCTCTGGCTCTTTTCCTGGTCTCTGCTTCTAGCCACCACAAAGTGAGCACTTTTCTGTGCCATGATGTTTTTGTCTTGGAGCCAGCCAATCATGGACTAAAACCTCTGAAACTGTAAGCCAAAATACATTCTTCCTCTTTTAAACTGTGAATGTCAGATATTTTGTCTCAGTGACAGAAAGATGACTAATCTAATGACTGATCTTTTCACAATCAAGCTACAGATTATACCTTGAGTTAAGCTGAATTACAACATTTTATTTTTTCCGTTCTACACTCAGAAGGGAGGAGGATATTGAAAGGAAGAATCTGAAAGAGAGCCAGGCATGGTGGTGCATGCCTGTAATCCAAGCACTTGGGAGGCTAGGTCAGGAGAATCACCATGAGTTTGAGGCCACCTTTGGGTACATAATGAGTTCAAGGACAGTGTGAACTGTATAGTGAGACCATGTCTCAAAAAAACCCAAAACCAAAAAAACCCAACCCCCAGCAAAACTAAAAAAGAGGAATAAGAAGAGCTAGTTAGGTGTGTGGTCAGCAGCTGGCTGGCCCTGGGGAAAAG